TAAGAAAGTGGATCAACATCAGTCCAGTTCTGAAGTCTTTACACTGGTTCCTCACTCACACTAAGAAAGTGGATCACATCAGTCCAGTACTGAAGTCCTTACACTGGTTCCTCACTGACACTAAGAAAGTGGATCACATCAGTCCAGTTCTGAAGTCCTTACACTGGTTCCTCACTGACACTAAGAAAGTGGATCACATCAGTCCAGTTCTGAAGTCTTTACACTGGTTCCTCACTAACACTAAGAAAGTGGATCACGCCTTGTTCTGAAGTCTTACACTGGTTCCCTCACTAACACGAAGAAAGTGGATCAGTCCAGTTCTGAAGTCTTTACAAAACTGGTTCCTCACTGACACTAAGAAAGTGGATCATCCTGTTCTGAAGTCTTTACACTGGTTCCTCACTGACACTAGAAAAGTGGATCAGTCCAGTTCTGAAGTCTTTACACTGGTTCCCTCACTGACACTAAGAAAGTGGATCACATCATCCAGTACTGAAGTCTTTACAACTGGTTTCCTCACTGACACTAAGAAAGTGGATCACAAATCACTCCAGTTCTGAAGTCCTTTACACAATGGTTCCTCACTGAAACGACTAAGAAAGTGGATCAGTCCAGTTCTGAAGTCCTTTACACTGGTTCCTCAATGACACTAGAGAAGTGGATCAGTCCAGTCGCTGATGTCTTTACTACAACTTTATCCTCACTGACACTAAGAAAGTTGGATCACATGCAGTCCAGTGTTCTGAAGGTCTTTACAACTGGTCTTCCCATCACTGGTGACACTAAGAAAGTGGATCACATCAGTCAGTTCTGAAGTCTTTACAACTTGGTTCCCGTCACTAACACTAAGAAAGTGGGAGTCACACGTCACTCCAGTTCTGAAGTTACATTTTATACAACAACTGGTTCCCTCACTGACACTAAGAAAGTTGGATGCAGTCCAGTAACTGAAAGTCTTTACAACACTGGTTCCTCACTGACACCTAAGAAAAGTGGAATCGTCCAGTACTGAAGTCTTTACACAACTGGTTCCCTCACTGACACTAAGAAGTGGATCAGTCCAGTACTGAAGTCTTTACACTGGTTCCTCACTGACACTAAAAGTGGATCACATCAGTCCAGTTCTGAAGTCTTTACAACCTGGTTCCTCACTGACACTAAGAAAGTGGATCAGTCCTGTTCTGAGTCTTTCACGGTTCTCAACTGACACTAAGAAAGTGGATCACATCACTCCAGTCTGAAGTCGTTACACTGGTTCCTCACTGACACTAAGAAAGTGGATCAGTCCAGTTCTGAGTCTTACAAAACTGGTTCCTCACTGACACTAAGAAAGTGGATCACATCAGTCCAGTTCGGAAGTCTTTACACTGGTTCCTCACTGACACTAATGGCGCATTTCCACTACACGGTCGGCCTCGGCCACACTCGGTACGGCTCGGTACGGCTCGGTACGGCTTGGCCGCGTTGGGGCCTTACAGGGCCGACTCACTTCATGCTGCGCTTCCATTACAGTTTAGGAACTGGGGTAGTTACTATAGTAACGCAGTGTAAGGCGGAGCCGTGACGTCATCTTCAATGAGAAATGCCAGAAAACACAACACAGCCGTTAGCTGTGAGCACTCAGAGCTCACAGCTCCTTATATATGTTCAGAAACTCGACAAAAGTTAAACAAGTACACACCACAGATTGCCTGTGTCATGGTGAATACAGTCGCTGCTTTATTTATGTCTGTATAGGCCGTTGTTGTGAGTGTGGACGGTCGGGGCATATACTGCGTTAGCTTAGCCAATCTCCATCTAGAAAAACACGAATTTTAAAAGGTTTTTCTCCTGCCGTCTGTCTGCAGACTTGACAAAGCATTAATTCATGGTTTTTACTAACCGGTATCAGTATGGTTGTTACTTTCTTCATCATTTTGAAACGTGTATTACAATTAAATCACGGTCAAATATGTCCATCTTGTTGTAGTTCTAGCCCTCTTGCCAGCGCTCCTCTCTCTAGTTTAGCATACTCAGCCCGACTCAGCCCTGTTTGTTGGCCCCGATAGAACCACAATTTTCTAGGGCCAGAAAAGAGGTGAAAAAGTGGCCCCGCGCCGTGCCGTAACTAGGCCTAGTGGAAGCACAACCAAAAAAGGGGACGGCACGACACGGCACGCTTAAAGCGAGCTACGCGCTGCAATGGAAATGCGCCATAAGAAAGTATATCAGTCCAGTTCTGAAGTCTTTACACTGGTTCCTCACTGACACTAAGAAAGTGGATCACATCAGTCCAGTTCTGAAGTCTTTACACTGGTTCCTCACTGACACTAAGAAAGTGGATCACATCAGTCCGGTTCTGAAGTCTTTACACTGGTTCCTCACTGACACTAAGAAAGTGGATCACATCAGTCCAGTTCTGAAGTCTTTACACTGGTTCCTCACTGACACTAAGAAAGTGGATCACATCAGTCCAGTTCTGAAGTCTTTACACTGGTTCCTCACTGACACTAAGAAAGTGGATCAGTCCAGTACTGAAGTCTTTACACTGGTTCCTCGCTGACACTAAGAAAGTGGATCAGTCCAGTTCTGAAGTCTTTACACTGGTTCCTCACTGACACTAAGAAAGTGGATCAGTCCAGTTCTGAAGTCTTTACACTGGTTCCTCACTGACACTAAGAAAGTGGATCAGTCCAGTACTGAAGTCTTTACACTGGTTCCTCGCTGACACTAAGAAAGTGGATCAGTCCAGTACTGAAGTCTTTACACTGGTTCCTCGCTGACACTAAGAAAGTGGATCAGTCCAGTTCTGAAGTCTTTACACTGGTTCCTCACTGACACTAAGAAAGTGGATCAGTCCAGTTCTGAAGTCTTTACACTGGTTCCTCACTGACACTAAGAAGTGGATCAGTCCAGTTCTGAAGTCTTTACACTGGTTCCTCCTCACTGACACTAAGAAAGTGGATCACATCAGTCCAGTTCTGAAGTCTTTACACTGGTTCCCTCACTGACACTAAGAAAGTGGATCACATCAGTCCGGTTCTGAAGTCTTTACACTGGTTCCTCACTGACCTAAGAAAGTGGATCACATCAGTCCAGTTCTGAAGTCTTTACACTGGTTCCTCACTGACACTAAGAAAGTGGATCACATCAGTCCAGTTCTGAAGTCTTTACACTGGTTCCTCACTGACACTAAGAAAGTGGATCAGTCCAGTACTGAAGTCTTTACACTGGTTCCTCGCTGACACTAAGAAAGTGGATCAGTCCAGTTCTGAAGTCTTTACACTGGTTCCTCACTGACACTAAGAAAGTGGATCAGTCCAGTTCTGAAGTCTTTACACTGGTTCCTCACTGTCACTAAGAAAGTGGATCAGTCCAGTACTGAAGTCTTTACACTGGTTCCTCGCTGACACTAAGAAAGTGGATCAGTCCAGTTCTGAAGTCTTTACACTGGTTCCTCACTGACACTAAGAAAGTGGATCAGTCCAGTTCTGAAGTCTTTACACTGGTTCCTCACTGACACTAAGAAAGTGGATCAGTCCAGTACTGAAGTCTTTACACTGGTTCCTCACTGACACTAAGAAAGTGGATCAGTCCAGTACTGAAGTCTTTACACTGGTTCCTCACTGAGACTAAGAAAGTGGATCAGTCCAGTTCTGAAGTCTTTACACTGGTTCCTCGCTGACACTAAGAAAGTGGATCAGTCCAGTTCTGAAGTCTTTACACTGGTTCCTCACTGACACTAAGAAAGTGGATCAGTCCAGTACTGAAGTCCTTACACTGGTTCCTCACTAACACTAAGAAAGTGGATCAGTCCAGTTCTGAAGTCTTTACACTGGTTCCTCACTGAGACTAAGAAAGTGGATCAGTCCAGTTCTGAAGTCTTTACACTGGTTCCTCACTGACACTAAGAAAGTGGATCAGTCCAGTACTGAAGTCTTTACACTGGTTCCTCACTGACACTAAGAAAGTGGATCAGTCCAGTACTGAAGTCTTTACACTGGTTCCTCACTGACACTAAGAAAGTGGATCAGTCCAGTACTGAAGTCTTTACACTGGTTCCTCACTAACACTAAGAAAGTGGATCAGTCCAGTACTGAAGTCTTTACACTGGTTCCTCACTGACACTAAGAAAGTGGATCAGTCCAGTTCTGAAGTCTTTACACTGGTTCCTCACTGACACTAAGAAAGTGGATCAGTCCAGTACTGAAGTCTTTACACTGGTTCCTCACTAACACTAAGAAAGTGGATCAGTCCAGTTCTGAAGTCTTTACACTGGTTCCTCACTGAGACTAAGAAAGTGGATCAGTCCAGTACTGAAGTCCTTACACTGGTTCCTCACTGACACTAAGAAAGTGGATCAGTCCAGTACTGAAGTCTTTACACTGGTTCCTCACTGAGACTAAGAAAGTGGATCAGTCCAGTACTGAAGTATTTACACTGGCTTCCAGTCTGCCAAATAATTGATTTTAAAGTACTATTGCTGGTTTTTAAAGCACTGAATGGTTTAGGAGCAAATTATATTACCGATCTTTTGCAAAAATATGAACCATCCTCTGCTCTGCTGTAAGAGTCAGAACTAAACAAGGAGAAGCAGCATTTAGTTGTTATGCCCCGACCATCTGGAACAAACTGCCTGAGTCCTGCAGGTCAGCTGCATCTGTTTTTAAATCGAGATTAAAAACGTTTCTTTTCGACGCAGCATTTGGATGAGTTGTTTTCATTCAAACTTCAGTTTGGCTTTCATCCATGTATTCTATCTTTGCTTTTTAAATGCCTGTTTTTAATGTGATTCCTCTGTATTTGTTCTTAAATGTCTTATCTTATTTTGTAAAGCCCTTTGGGTTGCCGTGTGCGGAAAGGTGCTGTATAAATAAACTTGTATCTGGTAATATAACTCCAACCCTACTCGGGTATATCCTCGTTATTATGCGGGAACACCTGGCTCTACTTGGTGTTTAGCGACAGGACTCGTATGTATTTTTACTTCACCCTAACTTTCTCTCTCTCTCTCTCTACAGAGAAAGCAGCTGGAGGCGGGGCTTCGGGAGGCGGGGCTAGTCGTTTGAGTGGCAGCTCCTCTTCTTCCTCTGATGACAGCTCCTCAACAGGAACCTCCTCTTCCTCCGACACAGACTGAACACACACACGTTACTAAACGCACAGAGGTTTATCCACTCTACACACACACACACACTGATCCTGAACCAAGACAGATACACACTCTGAACTTCTCTCACACACACACACACACACACACACACACACATGCCCAGACTTGGAGACTGTATGTAAATAGGCTGACCTGTTTTTTAGCTCCTAGTGTCGTTTATTTTTTCCTGGAAGATTGTTGACGGATAGAAGAAGCAGAAAGCATCAACGAGGGAGACGGGCAGCCTGTCTGTCTGCCTGTCTGTCTGTCGGGTCAGTGTCGTTGCTTTCAGAGGCTTTCTTCTTGTTCTTGGACGCCGGCTGTGACCCCTGACCTCTGAAAAACATTCCAGAAGCATCTATAGAGCATCATGGGAGAGGAGATCAAGGTTCACTTTGATAAACGCCTGCGAGAGACGAAGCTGTGGGCGTCATGTGACACGGGTTTATCTCTCTTCCTGTCACCTGACTCCTCTCACTTCCTGTCACCTGACTTCTCTCACTTCCTGTCACCTGACTCCTCTGACATCTGAACTGAAAGGCAACAGAACTCCCTGGAGATGATTTAAAGGATGAATTAAGAGCGACTCCTGGACTGACGTTCGATCAGCTGACGGAGTTCACTTGTTCCCACGTTAGCATCGTCTGTGAAACCCAGGAGAGAACAATGCCTTCAGATGGTTTTTCTAGTGTGGCCGACATTATAGAAGACGGCGTTTGAACGAGAGAGCCTCGAATGCATCGTTTGAATAAGTGAAGCTAGGATGGAGGCGTTCGATGTTCCTCTGAGTGCATGAACGCAACCACCATCCGTCGGACCCGGGGCGTTCTCTGTCGGCAGGACTCACTTCCTCTCTATTTTAAACACTACATTTCCTTTCTCTCCTCACTTTTTGGTTTCCAGTGAACGTGTCTTAACAGGTTCTGGAAATGTCTTCTGTACCCCCCCCCCCATACTGCCCCCCCCGTCAGACTGAACCAAATGTAAGCAGTCCTGGTCAGACGTCAGTTTCACGTCTTTTAAAGTTTATTATTTTAGCTGATTTAACGACTAGAAGAGAAAAAGGTTTTGACGTTGGTACAAAATAAATCCATCGTGTTTACAACTGAGAGAAAACAGCTGTTTATTTTTTTATTATCGGTTATTTTTATGATTATTTACTCTTTAAAATGTCTCCGGGACAGACGTCCTATTCATCTGCATCGGAGGAAGATTTTATTCAACGAGAAAAAACCCATGAATTATTTTTATAGACTTTGTGTTTCTGTGAAGAAGGGTCCGTGCGTTAGGGCCGACCTTTGACCCCCGCTGTCCCCCAAGAAGCCCGTCTGATAGAACAGGGACACCCTGAGGGACACCCTGAGGGACACCCTGAGGGACACCTGAGGGACACCTGAGGGACACCTGAGGACACCTGAGGGACACCTGAGGGACACCTGAGGGACACCTGAGGGATGAGACTTTCAACTATTGGAAAACACTTGAAAATCATTTTAAAATATGGGGAAAAAATTGAAATTCTGTGAAATCTCAGACACGTGTTTAATCTCCAGAAATGTAATAAAACATTCAGAAATTCCCTAAAGGTAAAATATTTCCTGTGAGACTCAAGAGGATAATGGACCCTCCCCTCATTAACCCTCAAACATGCCCTTGATTCAGTCTCACGCGCTCTGATTGGTGGCTCTTCATCATTTGACCTGAAAACTTCACAGGAACATTTTCTCTTGAAAGAGGTTCCCATTTTGACGGGTGTTTTCTCAGATGTAAAATCATGGTGACCGCTCACCTGTTCCGTCTGGAGCCCGCCTCCTTCTCTGATTGGTGCAATTTCCAATTCATGCAGCATTGAATCCTGATTATTGGTTAAGTGACATTGTAATCAGATGATGATGTAATGATCTGTGTTTGCATCATCTCTTCTCTGTAATCTGTTTGAACATTTACAATAGGACATTATGAACAGCATTAACTCATCAGGAGGGGTCTCTGGACCCTACTCTTCATCAGGAGGGGTCTCTGGACCCTACTCTTCATCAGGAGGGGGTCTCTGGACCCTACTCTTCATCAGGAGGGGTCTCTGGACCCTACTCTTCATCAGGAGGGGGTCTCTGGACCCTATTCTTCATCAGGAGGGGTCTCTGGACCCTACTCTTCATCAGGAGGGGGTCTCTGGACCCTACTCTTCATCAGGAGGGGGTCTCTGGACCCTACTCTTCATCAGGGAGGGGGGTCTCTGGACCCTACCCCTTCATCAGGAGGGGTCTCTGTCTCTGGACCCTACCCTTCATCAGGAGGGTCTCTGTCTCTGGACTCTACACCTTCATCAGGAGGGGTCTCTGGACCCTACCCTTCATCAGGAGGGGTCTCTGTCTCTGGACCCTACCCTTCATCAGGAGGGGTCTCTGTCTCTGGACTCTACCCTTCATCAGGAAGGGTCTCTGGACCCTACCCTCATCAGGAGGGGTAGGATCCAGAGACCCCTCATCAGGAGTGGGTCTCTGGACCCTACCCCTTCATCAGGAGGAGTAGGATCCAGAGACCCCTCATCAGGAGTGGTCTCTGGACCCTACCCTTCATCAGGAGGGTCTCTGTCTCTGGACTCTACCCTTCATCAGGAGGGGTCTCTGGACCCTACCCTTCATCAGGAGGGGTAGGATCCAGAGACCCCTCATCAGGAGTGGTCTCTGGACCCTACCCCTTCATCAGGAGGGGTAGGGTTCAGAGACCCCTCATCAGGAGTGGTCTCTGGACCCTACCCTTCATCAGGAGGGGTCTCTGTATCTGGACTCTACCCTTCATCAGGAGGGGTCTCTGTCTCTGGACTCTACCCTTCATCAGGAGGGGTCTCTGTCTCTGGACCCTACCCTTCATCAGGAGGGGTCTCTGTATCTGGACTCTACCCTTCATCAGGAGGGGTCTCTGTCTCTGGACCCTACCCTTCATCAGGAGGGGTCTCTGGACCCTACCCTTCATCAGGAGGGGTCTCTGTCTCTGGACTCTACCCTTCATCAGGAGGGGGTCTCTGGACCCTACCCTTCATCAGGAGGGGTCTCTGTCTCTGGACTCTACCCTTCATCAGGAGGGGTAGGGTCCAGAGACCCCTCATCAGGAGTGGTCTCTGGACCCTACCCTTCATCAGGAGGGGTCTCTGTCTCTGGACCCTACCCTTCATCAGGAGGGGTCTCTGTCTCTGGACTCTACCCTCATCAGGAGGGGTCTCTGTCTCTGGACCCTACCCTTCATCAGGAGGGGTCTCTGTCTCTGGACTCTACCCTTCATCAGGAGGGGAAGGGGTCTCTGGACCCTACCCTTCATCAGGAGGGGTCTCTGGACCCTACCCTTCATCAGGAGGGGTCTCTGGACCTTACCCTTCATCAGGAGGGGTATCTGGACCATACCCTTCATCGGGAGGGGTCTCTGGACCTTACCCTTCATCAGGAGGGGTCTCTGGACCCTACCCTTCATCAGGAGGGGTCTCTGTCTCTGGACCCCTCATCAGGAGGGGTCTCTGGACCCTACCCTTCATCAGGAGGGGTCTCTGAACCCTACCCTTCATCAGGAGGGGTCTCTGGACCCTACCCTTCATCAGGAGGGGTCTCTGGACCCTACCCTTCATCAGGAGGGGTCTCTGGACCCGGGGGACGGACGGACAGCTGCTGTCTTTAGTGGAGCTCTGATAGTTTTTGTATTTTAATAAAGAGGGTTTGTGTACTGCATGCACTCCGTATGTCGAGCACTGGATAGTAGCTGTAGCCCAGAGACACACAGACCACATTATTTGATGTAATTACTGATATCTTATTTTCTCAGTTCCTTTGTTTTCATAAATAAACTCATAAACTGAGCCAGACTCGACTCTCATTCTGTGGACCCTCCACACACAGGGGTCACCATGGAGGTGTTGATGCATCCCATAAGACACCTTTATTATATAAACCAGCGGTTTTCAAAGTGTGAGGCGCGCCTCCCCTGGGGGGCGCCAGAGAGCTTCAGGGGAGGCGCAGCGTGAGAAAAAAATAAAGAGAAACAATGAAATCTAGCTCGTTTAACTTCAGCTAACTTTATGCGAGCGGCAACAGGATCGATTTTTTAGTGAGTTACCTAAAGTGAGAGAGGAGACAGCGTCTGGCCACCCCCAGTTGGCAGCTTTGTTTTGAAATAAAAGTTGTGGCTCATCGGACATTTATCAGAGAAAATCCCTGATGTTCCGAGTGCAAGTGAATGCAGCACAAGACGCGAGCCTTGTAACCCTGGCGCGAGCGGATGGAAGGAATGTGATTGGCGGCGATTTCATTTGAACGGGCGGCAGAAAACGAGAAGCATTCGGACCCAAGTACACGGAAGGAATAAGGTATTTGCGGTCTACAATGACAGAGAAGAGACTGTCAAGTTTGGCTGTGCTCAGCATTGAATCAAAACGCACTAAAGCTTTGGATGTTAATACGTTTGTGAGGCGTTTTGCTGAACAAGATGGTAATCGCCGCATTCAGCTGTAATAGGCATGCCAACTTGATGCTCTGCTCACGGATGACTCGAGCATTAAAAACTGTTAAGATGATGACCTTACGTGTGTACATATATTTTTTTCTTTGTGGGGCTCTGCCCTGAGAAAGTCAAATAAGATGGTGTGTAAAACTACACTGCCCAGACAAAAATAAGTAACCACTTTGATTTAACTAGGCCAGTAGGTAAGGGCATTCCACTGGATAATAATACCCCTGCATTATAGCAACAACAATAATAATAATAATAATAGCAATAATAATTGGGAGGGGGGGCGCGGCTGTTCTTATATTCTCTGAGGGGAGGCTCACCTTCCCACACTTTGAAAACCCCTGATATAAACCTTCATCAATTAAATACAGAGGGAGTCCAGCCTTCAGACCCTTTACATGCACCAGCTACAGGAGGAGGATCAGGTGAAGTGCATCACAGGAGATGTTCCCAATAACCCAGCTTCCCCAACATTTAGATGTGGTGTCGTGGATCCTGAGTCCTGCTTTCTGAATCCTGAGTCCTGGGAGAGGGATCCATCCTCTGATGCTCACCCTGAGGTTTCTCCCATTTTCCCCTTTAACTGGGGGTTTCTAAGTTAATGTGAGAAACCCCCAGTTAATGAGAGAAACCCCCGAGTTAATGAGAAACCCCCAGTTAATGTGAGAAACCCCCAGTTAATGAGAGAGACCCCCAGTTAATGTGAGAAACCCCAGTTAATGAGGGAAACCCCCAGTTAATGTGAGAAACCCCCAGTTAATGTGAGAAACCCCCAGTTAATGAGAGAGACCCCCAGTTAATGTGAGAAACCCCCAGTTAATGAGGGAAACCCCCAGTTAATGAGATGAAACCCCCAGTTAATGTGAGAAACCCCCAGTTAATGAGAGAAACCCCCAGTTAATGTTAGAAACCCCCAGTTAATGAGATGAAACCCCCAGTTAATGTGAGAAACCCCCAGTTAATGAGATGAAACCCCCAGTTAATGTGAGAAACCCCCAGTTAATGAGAGAAACCCCAGTTAATGTTAGAAACCCCCAGTTAATGAGAGAAACCCCCAGTTAATGTTAGAAACCCCAGTTAATGAGATGAAACCCCCAGTTAATGTTAGAAACCCCCAGTTAATGAGAAACCCCCAGTTAATGTGAGAAACCCCCAGTTAACCTGTTACGCACCGCCCCCCCGGTACCGGGCGGATAAACGCGTCATTTGCAGGAAACAACGTCTAAGGAATCTTAATATTTAATAAACTATGACTGTTTTATATCCATGTAACGGGAAGAAACTCAGCTAACTGATCTTTTTTTTTTTTAATTCCAAAAAAAAACCACAATGCTAACACTCAGCCTCTGAATTAGCCACGAGCGAAAAAATGTAAACCTAAAAACTGCTCCTAAACTCACATCATAACTCCCTTATTACTTATCCTAGATGCACAGCCAACCCCTCGTTTTGGCATCTACTGGAGACACAGAGTCTGTGTAAAATACCTCAACACTCAGTGATAAACATTGCGACGCTATAAAACGAAAGCGTACATCATAACATGTGGAGCTAGGTAGCTAGAAACGCTAACATGGCTTACCTTGGTCAAAACTGGTCTTCA